CGCGAGATTCCACCATATTTCTCTAAACCAGCTATTTGCATTTACATCAAAGTGCTCAGAGCGTAGATGAGCACACTTTGGGAGAAGTGATGCAGTGAGATGGACATGAGCATCGTCCATCCGATACGAAGAAAGTTGAGACAAACGAAATGAGACAAAAATAGATAAAGGGACAGAGAGGCCGCCGTTTGATGAAAGGGCAGAAAAGTACAGGGTTCATCCCAGTTCCCTTCATCATCTCCTCACTTCCTACACTTGCTTAGCCCCTCCCACTTAACAAACGGGTAAGAGGTGCAAGGAGGAGGACACACGGGTCATCTGAATTGACGTCAGTTACTAATCAGACACTAAGTGTGCATGATTTGAATCTGCATTTATCAATTAGGTTATGATAATGCCTCATTATGTTTAATGACAATAACTGGCCGAAGCCATTTTGTTGAATATTAAAAGTAGCTCACATTACAGCTATAGTCACCTCTGGCTGATACATAATGATTGCAGCATTATCACAGTATGGAAATGGTTCAATGCAATTGTAGTGCACAAATGTCTGTGGATCAAAGGGGATTTTGGTCCAATAGATCAATTTGCTTCGGAACAGTGATCCTTTGAATATTGTGCCGTTACTATTAAAATGATGCCAATGCGCAACTTAAAGGGGACCTATCATGCAAAATGCACTTTTGTACGTCTTTTATACATGAATATGTGTCCCCGGTGTTCCAGGGAACTCACCAAGTGTCAGAAAACTGATAAAAACTGATCCAGATTTGAACACTGTCCTGACGTCAGGACGGTGGCGCTACGGCTATTGGGCCAACTCTCCACCTATCAGGGGAATGTGGGGTTGGGCCACGGCCGGCCATTGCCGCTCGAAAGCGCTGGAGACGCTGTAGTACATATGCCAGGCCTGTAAGTGGCGCTGTAGTCTGCCACAAAAGCAGCGAAGAAGACTTCCCGGAACAGAAACGTATAAATATACCTTATATAGGTATGGCCCTACAATATATCATTTAAATATAGCATGATAGGTGTCCTTTAAAAGGGAAAATGGATCATCACTCAGACCTATTTTAAGCATAAACCCAACTTTAATGCTTGATAATAGGCAAGAAATAGATGTAAAAAACTGGATAATATTTCACCTCAGTTGTTGCTTTGTATTGGTGTTAATTGTCCACACCAGTAGTGTGATAGGGGAGTATCCTTCTAATAAAAGACTTCTGACTTTGGTACTTAAGTGTATTCTCCTCCTTAGCAACTCTGAGCAGACACATGTCCTTTCAGGAGCTCAGAGAGATGCAATAACAGAATAAGGATGAACCCACAGTGAGTGAGAGAGAGTAACAAAGAGGTGAAACATCTGCTGGTGAAACACAAACCAGACCATCAAATGATTCACACTCTGCATGTGTGTCATCTGGACAGAGAAGAGAAACATGTGCACAAACTGCTGCAGGAACCAGATCACTGAGTTCACTCTGGCAGCTTCCACCTTCACCATTGTTTGTTTAAAAAACATGACCTGTGTTAACCGGACTGCAGCAGAGCATAGGACTACATTTCCCTTCATGCAACATTCTGCATTCACTGTCAGTAGGAGGACAGTGTGCGCAAGTTTAACTGTTGTTAATGTAATTCATTCAGTTTAATACTGAAGATATTTAATAGGGTTATTATCCATAATGTAATAGGTTGTAGGACTATGTGGTTTGTTTTGTTTTCTGGAGGTTAACAAAGGGAAAACATAGCAAAGAAAATGCTAAGAAATGTTTCACAGATTAACCTCTTGTCAACTACTCTCTTGAGATGTTGTGCATTTAGTAGCTACATCCTGTTAGTCCACCAGAGGATGCATCTTGTTATAAATATCAAGCCAATCAACTGTTGACTATCCTTCATCTCAACCATGCCCAAGCTCTCCACAGGACGCTGTAGCCGCTGCCACCCATGCCTCATGATGTCACATCCTCCCTGGCAGGGCTCAGCATCCTGCTCGTCACCCCCTGGCCTCATCATCCCTCATAAAAGTTCAACAAAGAGCAAACAACACAGTAAACCAACACAGCCCTGTATAAAACAAACACACACACACACACACACACACACACACACACACACACACCACACACACAACAACACACACACACACACACCACCACACACACACACACACACACACACACACACACACACACCACACACACACACACACACACACACACACACACACACACACCACACACACACACACACACCACACCACACACACACACACACACACACACACCACACACACACACACACACCACAAACACACACACACACACACACACACACACACACACACACCACACACACCACACACACACACACACCACACACATTCCATAGGAGGGTGCTCACACCCTCTGGAGTCTTGTCCTTTGATGTGAGTGTGGGAAAGCTCAGGGGAATGGTCTTAGTGGGGGAGGGAGAGAGAAAGGGAGAGGGGGGGAGGGTAAAGGAGGGTGAAGAGTGTATACATGGGAGCAACCCAGTAGAGACGGTGTGAGATAGACTGGGTGCAGGGGGGCGGGGGTGGGGGTCAGTCGAAGCTGACACACGGAGCACCGAGAGGTCAGGCTGATTAAACTGGATGAGGATATGTAGACTCTCACACACACAGTGCATGCTGATTAACAGAGTGATACCGGAACATATTTTTGTTCTGATTGATTCACTGCTACAAAGGGGGCACAAAGAAACACCCATTAAGTTGGCTACTGACTCTGAAAGAAAGCAGCAAAATATCTGACAACTCTTGAAATAGTCTGAAAACTTTTCTACACTTCAGAGCAAACAGGAATTATTCAACTGTGCAGATTGCCGCTCTAAATAGGGTGTCTGTGCTCTGAGGTTATGGAATTTGTTAATACAATTCTGTGTAAACGCTCAGTCCAAATAAAAGAGCATAATGCAGCCAGTAGCATTTAGTGGTAGTGTGGTTAATGAGCAGTACTTAACATCAATCCAACATAAACAATAAGCGCTTTGCTGCTCCAGGTCTGCTAAGGGGGGGAGAGGGAGAAAGAGAAGAGAGCAGCGGAGAAGGAAGGCTGAATATGAGGACTCTTTTGCTCGCTGTGTCGACGTCTCAAGGCTGGTGCTGCCTTGGCGAACCATCTGTGTGTGTGAGTGTGTGTGTGTGTGTGTGTGTGTGTGTGTGTGTCTGTGTGTTTGCATGCGCACACCGCAGTGCAGCAGCTAAACAGAGGTTACTTTATATAAAAGCTGGTCCCTGGTTGTGCCCTCACTGAGGTCTCTGTAATCTCGCTCTCTGTCACACACACTTGCGCATAAGTACGCCGGAGTGCAAACACACACGCAGGCACACAACTACACAAGCAGGCGCAGACCCGGGGCTCTGAGGTCTCAGTAATCACACCGAGTCTCTGTCTAAAGAGCGCCTCGGTACGCCTTCAGAACACACTGCCACACTCCACCTCTCATTAAACCCAGTGACCTCCTCCAGATAGAGACGGAGAGAGAGAGAGAGAGAGAGAGGAGAGAGAGAGAGAGAGGAGAGAGAGAGAGAGAGGTGAGAGAGAGAGAGGTGTAGTTGTTGTGTGTGGCCTTCACATTAATAATATGTGCATTCAAACACGACCCCAAGACCCCAGCCACCCGCCCATTTAACTGTCATCGCCTGTAGTGAAAGGCCCCAAAAAAAGCCAACACAGATACACACTGTGCTTTGGATGCTAAATGTTGCAAGAAAGTGCGCACACACACAAATAAACAGACAACTGCCAGACCCCAACTACGTCAATGTTGAATGTGTTTTGGCAAATCAGTGTCTGGTACCACATTAATCTATTTACTGTATGCAGTCAGGCATTATTTTATCTGTCTTTATCCGTCGTTCTGCATCTCATTGATCCATATCTTTGGAGGTCTTTGTAAACCGTATCTGCACATCTTTGTATCCGACCGTCCCATCATGCACGGTGTCTATCTGGCATCAGTTGTGCCTCTAAGCCCTGCATAGAGCTATCCCTCGATTTCAGGGAAAAATTGAATTACACGGCGGGCGGAGAAAGGAGGTGGGTTGTAATTAGTTACAACATAGAGTTAGGGGTGTGGGGGGGGAGTTTTTTGTAGGGGAGAGTCTGTGCCAAAAGTGCTCTCACTCAAAGAAAACCTTCACAGAGGGCAAAGAAAGAGCGAGAGAAGAAGCAAGAGACAGACTGATGGAGAGAGATTGGGAAGAAAACAAAGGCGCCCTTTCAAAGCTTCTGAGTAGCAGCTTACGGTGCTGACATCATCAAAGTGAGACGCAAAAGTTGGGGAATTCCCATGTTACTGCCACCTCTGCCTTTCACAGCCTCTAAGTGGCTTACATTTACATTCTTTTAATGAACTGATATCAGATGCAACCCAGAGACAATGGCTCTCCACTCACAATCTGTCCCCTCAACTAGTCTTTATATTTGATGTTAAGATAACAGCCAAGCATTTCCCCCGCACTTCCTTTTCCTCACCCTTAGTGCTGCGTTGTTGACTACTCTCCCAAAAGACTACTACTAGGGACTAAGAACTTTTAGGCTAATGTCAATCAAACATGTTAATATCACTCCTGACAATGGAAAAACATTATTGTGTACAGGCAAAGAGACTTGCTTTATGGCCACAGAATAAAAGAAACTACCATAATATTCCCTGTCTAGGTTACCTAACCAAATTCAGTTTCAAGTCTATATAATATGATTGTTATATAAAGAAATATAAATGGAACCCAATGGAGGGAAGAGAAAACCTTGAGAAATACATATTGTCAAATTGATTTGCTGTCATGCTTTTCCATTGATGTTGTTCCAATAAACAGTGAATTCAGTTTTCTTAAGCATTTGCATCAAGCTTGTAATTAAAGTGACTTAGTCTTAAAGTGACACAGATCACAGCTGACAGCAGGCCACATGTTAATATGATAATACACAGTATATGGAGGGACTGACCCTGGATGCATTGCAGTGAGCCGTCCTCCGCCCGGATGGTGAACGTCTCCCCCGGGTTCACCTGCACGAGGATCACCTGTAGCAGCACACACACACACACACACAAATCACACAGTTAGAAAAACACAGATAGGATTAAATAGATGAGAATCACAAAGCAACGATGAAAATAACTGTATCTTGCATGACGCCCTGTAACGTACGTCCATCTTCAACAATCACCAGAACATGATAGAATCCCTGCTGGGCAGCCAATAGGCTTGCAGAGGTGACATAACACACTATAATAATCAGATCCCAGAGTAGGGCGGACGCAGAGTTCACAGACATATGGAGGTGGTGTTAGGTAAGCGAATGATGAGACAATGATGCTGTCTCACACACAGCCTGATTTGTGGCTTTCCTTTTTAACACCACTTACAGGAAAAACACTTAAACCAGTACACACACATATTACACACATAGAGAGATGCATTCACCACCACTTAACATACAAACAGGTGGCACACACACACAACCAAAACAAAATATATGACACTGTTTTGATTTCCCAGTGTCTCTGCTGAATATGCCGGAAGGGAGTGTGCATGCACCTTACCGTCATATTCTCCGCATGCAGATTGTTGAGAGTGTACACATGGCTGTAGACATGAAACAAGTGACCCTCCATCACACACACGCACATGTGTTCACGCACACATGCATGCACACACGACCACAGCCCTGTCTATGCTCTACAGGTGTGCCGTCGTAAAATCCTCATATCCTGCGCTCTTCCTGTAGTGTCTGCATGCTCTCCCATCTCAGCGCTAACCTGCTCCTCTCCCTCTGACACACACACACACACACACAGACACACACGCACACATCCACGCTTCCTGCTCTGTCTGCTGCAGCGGATGCTGTTGCTATGGGAACCCCAGCATAGTGCAGGGCGACCCATGTTTCCCAAAGACTGAGAAAACCCCTATATTAGACCATGTGGGTGAGTGTGTGTGTGGGGAGTGATGTGTAAAATATTTATGTAGTGATTTTGTTGTGTTTTGAAAGATGATTGGACACTGAAACTGTAAATATAAAATCAGCTAATGGTTTATTAAACCATTTTTACATTTATTTACTTTAAAAAAGGGTGACAAATAATGTTTCTTACCCATAAAATCTTCTACAGTGTGTTTTGAAGTTGAACATTTTCTATATTTTGGAGCCAAACATACTTACAGCCAGGGAAGGAAATGAGCTCCTGCAATCTGCCAAATGCAGGGTGACCTTTGGCTGCAGCAGGTAAACACTCGGGTCACCTGCCACCATCGCAAATGTTTTCCTCGTATTAGGAACTACTTATTTATTTCGATGTTAAAAACAGCCAGGAATAAAATCCCAAGGCTGCATTTCAGTCCGTGTTCAAGGGAATAGCACATTTTTAGAGAACATTGTAATTTTATGTCATTTTTGCTATTATAGCATTATTAAGGCCAATCCAGCACAAGTTTAATGTCGCCAGCGTGACAGACAAACGAGCCAATGGAGTGGTTAGATATGGGAATCGACAAGGAGGGCCAGATTTATTTGTATTGCACTAAATGCTGTGTACTGATACTCAATTACGTGAAGGAGGTGAATCCTCAGAAAACAGATCCGCCTATTGGCTACATTAGCACCCTTTTTCCCCTAGGATAGAAACTGTTACAACTACTTAAATACTAACAAATCATTATATTCTTGTAATTGGAAAAAGTTTTAAACCAAAAGCAAGGGCTATAAGTAGAAACTAACTCGTCATAAAATACGTTTTGTGAAACCCAGAAATGCGTTTCACTTTTGCAGAAAGGAAAAATAAAAGACACCCTCGATATGAAATTCCCTTGAATTACAGTTACAGCGAGCTTAGATGGGATGTGGCCATTTGGCTCTTTGGAAGATGTACTCCATGATGCATATATATGTTCTTTAAACATTAAATTGTAGCCTAAGATTGTATTTGATAGCTCTGCTTGCATGCACTAACACACACAGGAACACACAGATAGACACACATAAAACAGGTGTAGGCAGGTAGACACAGATAGGAAGGCTGACAGACAAACACAAACACAGAAGTATGTACTCAGACTCAACACAGACACTTGTGTGCCCACACAGGGTAAGAGATACACACACAGTGTAGCACAGACCCATAAATAAACAAACACACACAAACATGGACACACGCATGCAGAGTCAAATCTGTATAATCATCAGTCTGGATCGCTGATTCCACACTTGGAACCGTCTTTAAACTGCAGGGTGTTACAATAAAAAGAGCTCCCTAACTGCTGTGTGTTACAGCCAAAAACCTCTAACTGTTATGTATCGCAGCCAGAGCACTCCCACCGAGCTTCCTCTGGGCTGTGGGGGAACAGGCAGGGGACAATGCATAAACATCATCATCATCCGTACCAAAAAGCACACGGATCAAAATATATATCTGTGGCAACAGGATTAGACCCATGTCAATTAACGGGTTTGCTTTTAATTGCGTCAATCGCTTCCTTTCGCCAAGTTAGCAGAGCTTGGGTGGGGTTCTGCACTTTGAAGGTGATCCAGTTGGCTCTGCGGCTTCTGATAAGATCAGTCAGCTTCAGAGCAAACCTTTTCCAGAGTAATTTAAGCTAAGGCCTTGGGATGTGTCAACAGGGCTAGTTACATGACTAGCAAAAAAAAAAAAAGTGCCTTAGGTGTTGAAAGATGTGAGTATATGGCCTGTGTTTATTCTTGTTCCTGTTATATGACGAATGCTTTACTGTACACGCTTGGCAGCTGTTCATTACCTGTGGCAACAACCCAAGAGCCATGTGACGAAATGACAACAAAGAGATGTGTTTGATGTGTATTCTTGCACACAACTGGTTGGCGTGTGTGTACGGCAACACAGGAATGTTGAAAGGAGGTGGATGCATTTGAATGATTGAGTGAACTGAAAGCAAACGACCGAAGTGTGTGTGAAACTGAGTGAGTGTTTACCTGCTGCGCTGCGTCACCGTTAACCATGTGAGGCATGAGAGGGACCTCCCCGTTCAGGAGGGGGGGCGGAGCCAAGTCCAGTGGAATCTGGTCTGTCATCATCATTGTGACGTACATTCATGGAGAAATTCACTGAACTGCCCTACCTGGGAAAGTACAGAGAGAGAGAAAATGAGGAACAGGGGACGTCAGCATTTTTCAGTTATGTACAAACACACACTGAATAACATGAAAGTTCAAACCAGATTAGGGTTTTTCCTGTATCGGTTAAAAGTAATGAAGCTGGTTTCAACCACCAACAAAAAAGGGAAGAGTGATCTTTACTACCTGATATGGTTGAGTATATTTAAAACTTTCATTCAAAATTGAAAGTATAAAGTATGGCTTTGAATGCCTGAGTCACAAAGACCACATTGCTCACAAGTCCAAACCTACGTATACAATTCAAAAGTAATTGTTGTTTTGGGGAAATGTGTTAATTTAGTTTCTTATCAAAAGTCTGACCATGCTAATATCTATACTGTACATATGACGCTGGGGCAAGCAGCCAGAGAGCTTTGCTTAGCTTATCAAAGCGCTGTCTTTATGGATGTAAACAGTCAATCAAAACCTATGAAGGTTACTAAATGTCACACAGATGTTTGTTTTGTTTTTATGCTAGTCTGGGCTAGCCGCCTTTAGCTTCCTGAAAGATGAAAGTGGTATCAACCCTTCATCTAACACTCAAGTAGAAAGCAAATATGCATAATTCCCAAAATGTCGAGCTAACCCTGTTGTACAATTAAACTTGAGGCAAGATTGTGCCAAGTCTTCAAAGGTGTTCCGGTGTGTTTCCATTGGTGTTTATTGTGCAATTTCCTTATCAACACAAGATCATTTTCCATTTCATGTTAGCGTAAAAACCTCTTTGCACGGTTGAGGGCGATTATGACATTTGTTTGTTCCCATTGGGTTCATTGTAGTGTGGTTTCCTTCCCAATTTGAATAAGACTTTGGATCAAAAACCCAGATTCAGTTCGAATAACAGAGGTGTACAAGATACATGACAGAATACTGGAACAACTCAAATGAGCAAGAGAGAGAGAAGAAGCTGAAACATATGAGAAAATAATGGTCAAGAAAATAAGACCTGGAGAACAAGAGGAACAAATAGACACATGGAAAGAGAATGAAGGCATGTCACTCGGGCTTTCTTTCTGACAGATTACTATTAATACTTTTCCTAATGTGCCGTCGATAATAACACCTTTGCACAGACGTGGACTCCAGTGAAATACAACAAGTCCCATCATGTCAATGTAGAAGAAAGAAAGATGTAAGAGGCAGAGAAAACGGAAAATAGAGAGAGAGACTAATTCAAAGCACTTCATCATCAACAATAGTCTTGTAAAATACAGGGGGGATTACAGTGAATATCCTGTCGAGGACTAATAAGAAGAGAGGTAGAGGATGAATAGGGTCTTAGTTTGATATGTGAATAGGGATTACTGCACCTGCTGTTAGCTTTGTGAATACAGGGTTATATATAAACATGCACACAGGAAGAATAAGACATCTTCCGAGGCTTAATGAGGGTGAGTTGTAAAGACGCTTTTTGGAGAGTAACCAAAAGGAGCTTTGTTTGGTTTCTTTGCTTGCATAATAATAGCAGTAAAAACTAAATAAAACAACAACCATCATCTCAAGTGGAAAATAACATGGCTTCACCTAATTGGACAAGAACCAACATCACAAAAGCAATGTGTCTCAGCAGGGTTTGAACCAAGCTGCTGAACTAAACCTATCCGTCAACGTATGTGCTTACACACACACAGCACGAGAACCACATGAGCCCCCTTACGTCAGCAGTAATATATATACGATGTGTCCTTGGGGAACACACGTTTATTCAGCGGATACACAAAGAACCCGAGCCATAATGTTCCGCAACAGCTAACGTAGCTCAAACACAAACACATGCACACATATACAAACACACACACATCCATTGCCAGAGATAGATTGCTGGATGACGTGTGCTGCAATTCAATGCTGCTGAGTGAAATCCCTGCTAAAGAGCTACTGACTAATGGTTATAAGCTGCTATTAGCACACACACACACACACACACACACACACACACACACACACACACACACACACACACACACACACACACACACACACGCTTTTCATTTCTGTAAAGACGTGTCACTGATATCCATTTGACACACACACACGCAGAAACACACACACAGCGTTCCTCTGAAGACAGCTGTGTGTCATTGTATGTCTTTTCTTTCAGCTGGTCGTCTTCGAGCTCTGACAGGCTCTTTGAAAGGGTTAGTAGATCACACAGCTGTGGCTCATACTGTTGAAACATAAACACTCACGCACTCACACATCACTCCTAGTGTCTTTCTTGCCTTTCTGACGCTATCTTTTCTTGTAATTGTTGATTTGGTTCTTTCCCTGTCTTAAACACGGCCTCTTTTTCCATCTGAGCCCCGTTTCCAGCTCAGCCTGGCCATCCTGCCTTGAACGCACACACACTAACACACACACACACTCGCACAGTTGCGTCCAGGACACATCACAGACAGATGGTAACACCACTCTGAACTCTGCCAGGAAAAAGAAAAGAGCGAGACAGAGAAGAAAGGAGAAGGAAGAGAGGGAATAAGTCAATGAAGAATCGGCTCGTATGATAAATGGAGAGCGATTGAAGAGCAGGACAGTCAAAGACATCTCTTCCAATAACCTTGTGTTCTTATAATAACCCCTCATTTCCTGTAGAAATTCATTATATTCTAACAATCTTTTTACCCATGAATACTCATCGGTCTGAATGTACGGTACGCTATGAATATGATGGTCAAGGACTTCTAGTGTTAGGAAAGGTCACGGACAGGGAGTCATTTTTTTTAATGATTGAAAAAGTACATTCTATATTAGCCGCAACAAAGTTAAAGCATTTTAAAAGGGTTATAATTGTCACTGTACCCATTTGTGTTGAACTCACCCTTGTAACAGGTTGGGATTTTGGGATGGGTGCCCCTTTTTTCACTTTCTCTCTGTTTTTTAGATTAGAAGATTGATGGCACTCACACTTCTGTACATAAATATGCCGCTACAGCCTGAGGACGGTAAGCTTAGCTAAGTATCAAGACTGGAAGACCGCCCAATCAGCTCCTCTAAAGCTACCTCACTAATTATTACCTCCTTTATGAGGTTATGTTGTTGGTCAGTTTCTTTGTTAGTCAGCAAAAACTACTCTTCAGATTACCATTACACTTTTGGGAAATGTGTTAGCAAGGACCAAAAAAGAGCCTGTTACATTTTGAGGCAGATCTGAAAACAGTCTTTAAACCTTTTCACATTTGTTTACATTGCATCATAAGGAATGTTTTTTGAGCTTTCAAAGTTTCACCTTCTAGTGAACACATTATATCTTGTTTAATAAAAATGTTGTTTAGGCGGGTTGCATGTCGAACTGTTTCTTGGCTTCTTCCCAATCTTAAATATTAAGCCAACCCTTTACTGGCTTTGTATTTAGCGGACAGACATATGTGCTACTGATCTTCCCACTTTTGAAAATCATATCCTAAAATGTTAAAAATAACAAATCGATTCCTTTAAGGCAATTATAAAGCAGTCTAGAAGACACAATGTGCTGTGTTCTGCTTACTGATGTCTTGTTATATAATGTCTTGGCATTGCCATTCGCTAAATGTTAACACTTAACCTTTCACTGCAATTTGGAGCAACTGATGTGTGAAATTGAACATTGCAGACTGATTATCCAGTTGGCTATTGGCGTCTGATTTAGTGACAATTTGCCTTGCAATGCTGAGTCATGATGGAAGTTAAATGTAGGAAAAATGCAAATGCACATTTTGTTCCGCAGCTGTTTCCTACAGGATCTAATGTACAAATGTACTGTATCAGTCAATGAATAATGACCATTGTTTTCCAGTGGAATTATTACCAGATGGCTGCTGTTGTTGATAGCTTCAGACATCACCATGCCCACACAAACACACACTCACACACTCACACACAACCACAAACAGTGGTTTCCGTTCCCCTGTGGAATGTGGGAGGAATAAGGTGTCGATTCCCAACAGGGATAAAAAGCTACATTGAAAAATTCCATGTTGAATCCAGAAAACAATCACCCACTTGTCCGGGTGTATGAATGTTTGTCTGTGTGTGTGTGCGTGTGCGTGTGTGTGTGTGTGTGTTTCTATGTCATTAGACAGAAAGCCCTGTGTAAGCATGGAAACTGTAGAGTAAAACACACTGAAATGTAACACACTCACGCACACACAGAAGCTCTTGATGTGTACGGGCAGCTCTGACCTAATAACACAACAGTCATTACTCACACAGTCATTCATCACTCACACACACTCACTCACACACACGCCCAATGACTCCAGTTTGTCCATCCTGATGAAGCATGATGGATATTCACAACCACCTAACAGACTGTCTGACTTACTTCCAGTCGAGTGCTTCACACCTCTCTCTCCCCTCCATCATGACATGCACACAGGCATAGCAACACACACACACACACACACACACACAGATTTATGCAACAGCCAAAATCTATTGAGACTGGTATTTCTTACTCTGATTAAATGTGGCCTTGGAGAATAGTCTTTCATTTTTCTTATTTTGCAAAAATAAGTAAACACTCAAATAAAGCTCAATGTGCTCTATCCAGCTTTTACTTCTCTTATTCTTCTTATGAATGAGTTATTCATAACAACAACATTGTGAAACTGATCACATGTCCACTTCCTTTTTATTTTGAATATAGAGATTTCATTTGATGACGCAAGTTAAATAGACCCGGTGAAAGCATGTCCTTTCTACCAGCAGAGTGAAGGATGCCACGGGTGATATAAGGCTAACATTAGCTAATTGGCCATACATATTTCTTCTGCTTGGCTGTACAAATGACTGCTACTTTTTAAGTCTCGCAACTAGGGAGATCAAAGTCAGTCGTGTGCTCCTGGCGTTCGTCATGCTGAATCACTGATTCAGCATGTCTGACACTCCTTAATTGTGTTTCTACTTTGCTGTAAACGACAGCAGTAAAACGTTTCATCAGCTCGATGTGGTCAAAAGATATGCTTGGCAGTTTTAAACATGTTTT